AATCATACATAACTCCAATTCCAAGGGATCTGATGCCCTCTTCTGACCTCTGTGAGCATTACATACACAGGTGCATTTATATACATGCAAGTGATACACTCATACACATAAAATATAATATATATATATATTTAGTCTTTTTGAGACAGGGTCTCCCTGTAGCCCCAGCTGGCCTGGAACTCGCTATGTAGACCAGGCTGCCTTTGCCTCCCGAGTGCTGGGACTACAGGCGTGCGCCACACACCTGGCCTCTATCCTAATATTCTTTCAAGCATACTGTACATTTGCTGTGCAGTGAGGGATAACTGACTGGTATCATTATATTCTTTCAAGCATACTATAGAGTGTGGGCTATGGTAGACTATAGTGTGGGAACAAGATGGGTGGAAGGCACAGTCCTGACATCTTCAGCCCAAGAGTCAGGAGACTTCCTCACCTGAATATACATGGGGTCATCTTCATGGCTATCAGGACTTGGGAACAGAAGCAGAAGAACCTTTCCTGCCCTGGGATCAGAGATGGCTTCAGAGATCTGACCCTAGAAAGTAGGTCAGAGCTGAGTAGGCTTAACTGCCTATGAGCTGCAGAAAGGACTCAGAGATAGGGATAGGTTAGACCTAGTAAGGGGACAGTGGGACTGTCGTGTGACTGGTTCAGAGGGCTGGTGTGGATACTCATGGGTTCTTGAAGGTCATTTCTCCTGCTCTTACTCTTAAGTTACTTGAGGAAACGGATGTTAGAAGAAGAGACAGGCCTGGCCTGGAAAATATCCTGCTGTGAAATATCTTAATTCCTAGGCCGGGGTTCATTGCTGCAGCCCCTTTCTCTGAGCCTGGAGGCCATTATGGCCCACCTTTGGGCCTTTTTCTCTGTCCCATCCCTGGGCTCTTTCTTGAATCCCAGTTCTCTTATCACCTGGCAAGGTGGAAAACAAGGAATTCTTCTTAGACCAGGGAGTGGCTGGTTCTGCCTGTCACTGCAGCTTCAGAGGGCACAATGCATGGCCTGGAGCCTGGGTCCAGTACACCAGTGTCTACAAGATGTGACTGGATAAGTGCTGGAAAGCTACCCCATGTCTGCTCTTCTCCCTATGGCTGGGGACATGGCCAGGTGCTTATGAACTGAGCTCCCATCTAAACTGTGTACAAACTGAGCTCTTGACCTAAATTTCTCATTTAGAGGGCTGTGATTGGCCCATGCGGCCAAGTTTGGAAGGTCCAAGTTCTAACGTCTCATTCCTCTACTCTGCTACTGTGATGTCATATTAATGTGGTATAGAGATAGACAGGATCCCCACTGTCTCACCGTGTCCACTGGGTGGGGCAGGAGGGTGGCTGTCCACTTTGACTCTGGTGCCTAGTTATCTGCCTAGGGTTCAGAGTAGCTGAATGGAGAAGACAGCTGCTTCATAAACCAGTGTGTTGGGAAGGTGAGGAGCAGAGAGAAAGCAGCCCACCACACATGGGTGTTCAGAAGGTCCAGAAGCCAGACTGTACTCACCTCTGTTGACCCAGGGTCAAGGGTGTGCTGCTGTGGTATCAGCTCCATATGTGTTTACCTGATGAGGGAAAGGCTTGCTTCTCCTTGAGAAGGCTGAAGGATGAAGACCTTGGCACTGGAGAGGACTTGGTGCAGTTCCTGCACCTGTGTCCAACTGAGGAGGCTAACAGAAACAGGAATGTTTGCTGCACTAGGCCACAGCTATTCTGACAGAAGGCAGACTGAGTCAGGGCTGGGGAAGGCATGGAGGCAGCTGTCCCAGGAGGAAGAGGAGGCTTGGGTTGAATTTGGACAGTCCAAGGGTAAACAAGCTATCCAGAGAAGCTGAGGAAACTGAGGCTGCAGATGCAACATGCTAAGTCTGCCTGCTGAGGTATATAGAGGCCCAAGTGAGGCCTGGTAGGGAGCCTGTGTCCTGTGTACATACTCACCAATCTTGGTCTAATAGAGGACAAATCTCACTTTCCTATGGTCATAATTTTGCCAAGAACCAGGACAGCTGTTGTGCCCTGCTTCAAAGGACCTAGTTACTCACCCAAAGGAAGAAGATACTCTGAGATTCACAGACTCCGTGCCATAAGAAGGCATGACAGGTTCTGAAATAGTGCCAGGCAGGTAGGTACTCAGGAGGCCTAATGGGTGCTGTCCCTTGGCACTCTTGGTGGTATTCTAGGTACTCCTGCAACCACAGCCCCTGCTCTAGCCTCATCTCATTCTGCAGCCTCATCCCCTCCTGCAGGAGCATCTTTAGATGCATCCCTTCCTGTGGCGTTGACCCCTTCCACAGCCTCACTCTCCTCATCGTCTTTCTGCAGGCTACCTGAATGTGCTGGTGAACAGCCAGTGGAAGTCACGCTGGTGCTTAGTTCGGGACAGTCACCTGCATTTCTACCAGGACCGGAACCGGAGCAAGGCAGCCCAGCAGCCCCTTAGCCTGGTGGGCTGTGAGGTGGTCCCAGACCCTAGCCCCGACCACCTATATTCCTTCCGTATCCTCCACAATGGCGAGGAGCTGGCCAAGCTTGAGGTATACTGGCTGTGGGGAAGACAGGAGGGAGAGTCAAGGCCTGGCATTCTTGGCTGTCGATTGAAAATATCGATGACCACGATTCTACTGAACAAAATCCATGTTACTTCATGCCCATTATAGGAATGGGACAATGGGCTCCTTCCTGCACTCAGAGTATTTACAACTCGAGTAGGTGCCAGAGAAGCTTCTGGATTCAAGTGGGTGCTATTTACTTTGTGTGCCTCCAGCCTTGAGAAACTAGAGACCCCCCCTACATAAAAATGAGGACTATCAGAATTTATCTGGGGTCAGGATTAGCTCTGTGGTACAATTACATTCCCACCACTCCTTGACCTCTGTGCTTTTCCATTTACAAAAACAAGAGATGACATCATGCCTTGCAGTGAGCCCCACGGGTGGAGCCCAAGTTCCTTCACACACATGAGCACTTGTCCGTTAACTTTTGTCACTTGGTCCTTTCCAGGGATCTTCCTCCAACTCCTGCTCCAATATTGCCCTCTGGTGGCTAAAACGTCTACATCTTGTTCGCTTTACAGGGACATGGCTACATTCATAGCTTTATTTGCACACTGGCTAAAATCTGCTCACTGGACAAGAGAAATATTCTGTGTAGAACTTATTTTCCAGTTTGATAGTGTGGTGACATCCAGTTAATTACACAAGTGTTTGGTTACATCGTGAGAAAGAAGGGTGCTGTGTTTGCTGGTTGCAGAAAGAGGCTGGGAAGGAGGAACAGACCCTGATCCTAAAGGCAGCGGTGCCCCTGAGGGGTTTCAAGGGAGGTGACATGCTCAAATCAGAATGTTAAGATGCTACCTCCAGATACTTTTGGGGCGGGGGAGTAGATGGAAAGGGGTCAAGAAAGGACCAAAAAGCTGCTACAGGTGCCCAGTACAGAGATGGTGACCTAGAGGATGCCTTCAAAAAGCAGTATTGAGAAATCCAGTTGAAAAGGAAATTAACTATATTACTTTTCTTGTTGCTGTGAACAAATACTTGACAGAAAGCAACTTAGAGGAAGAAAGACTGATTTGGCTCATGGTTTGTGGGGACGTAGTTCATCCTGGTGGGGAACCCTCGACGACAGAGGTGGGAGGCAACTGACCGGTCACAGTGCACTGCAACCAGGAAAAGGAGAGAGCTGAATGCTGGTGCTCAGCTCACATTCCCCTTTTTACTCAGTCCAGAACCCCAGTCCATGGGATGGTGCTGCCCACACTCAAGGTGTTTTTCCCCCTCATTCAAACCACTCTGGAAACACCCTCCCAGACATGCTCCTACAGAATCCCAAATCGTCAAGTTAACAATGAAGATTAACTAATCACACCAACTAAAAGTCAAGTTCAGTTTGCAGCTGCCTCTTTAGAAGAGAAGGTGGCAGTGTGGCTGGCAAGGCCCTGTGTGTAATGACAAAAGGATAGCTAGTTTTGCCCAGGAAAATAAACCTGTGGCTTTTATAGAATTTTTTTTCCACTTGCCATAAAGGCAAAAAAAAGAAAGAAAAAACCCCGACATTTTAATAGAAATACCCAGGGTACACACTTGATTAGAATTGTCCTCAGTAAGGAAACAAACACCACACGCGTTGGGATTGAGTTGGCAATTTAGCAGAACTATTTGCTCAAGTGTTAGGTCTTTCAGATTCATTGACGTCGTAAGCAGAAATAAATTTGAACGTTGTTATTTTTTAGGAAGTATTCCAGGAGTCTTGTGTGCATGGGTTCAAGTGTTTGAAGGGATGCTGATTGTTCGATAGAAGGGTCAACCTACAATTTTAATAACTTAGCGATCATTAACGGTTATTACCTTGAGAACGTAGTTATCAGCTTCCAGAAATACATGTATACAAAGCACATGTGAGACTTCCGGCTAATAATGTCTAGAGTGTCATGATGACGAAGCTGCCAGGAAATATTAATTGGGTTCCCATAAGGATGGGAGTGGGAGGGGTTGGTGTGGGCAGCACTCTTGTTCCTTGATTGTGACACTCTGTGCCCTTCTAGGCTAAGTCCTCAGAGGAGATGGGCCACTGGCTAGGTCTCCTGCTCTCCGAGTCAGGCTCCAAGACAGACCCAGAAGAGTTCACCTACGACTATGTAGATGTTGAAAGGGTTTCCTGTATTGTGAGTGCAGCCAAAACCTCGCTCTTGTGAGTAAGCGGCAGCATTTCCTTGTGTGTCCTCCCATGCCAGCTGTGCTTCTAGACCTGGGTTCAGTGGGCAGCTAGAGCAGGGTGGCCACTGAGAGCACAGGATTGAGTCCAGTTTGGTCCAGCAGGAGGATGCATGGCATAGCCCTCAGGGAGGCCTAGATAAGACCTGGCCCTGGTATTGGTCATTCTCCAGCTCCCTAGTTCACACTGGGCATCCTTCCTGACTCCCCCTTATCCTTCCCCTGGATCCCTCACCAGATCTCCAGCGTACTCTGGAATATGCATGGCAGGGGTGGTACTCCTGCTTTCCAGATGACCAGATAGACTCGGGGAGAAGTGTCCTGGGACAGGGGGCACAGCCAGAACTGAGAAAAGCCAGCTTGGCCCCTGAACAGAGTGTTCATTAATGTACAAAATGGGGATGTGTTTGGGCTGAGCTGCCCCAGGTGCATTGTGGGAATGAAGTAAGACAGGATCTTGTGGCTGCTGCTGGGAGGATAGCCTGAAAGGAAGGGATCTGGAGAAGACAGCTGTGGGCAGCAGTGGGCCAGGGGGAGTTTGTTTTTCTGGAAGGGAAATCTGGACCCAGATTTCCTAGACTGCTGGGGCAGGTGGAAGGTGGGTCCAGCTGCATGGAGGTGGGTGTCTGTCTCAGATCTCTATGCAACCAGGGGCTTTTGTCATGCATTCTAATAGCTGTCTGCAATGTCCTAGAAGCTTCATGCACTCACATGTGTCTTCCAGACTGATGCAGAGAAAGTTCTCAGAGCCCAACACATACATTGATGGCCTGCCCAGCCAGGACCGCCAGGAGGAGCTATATGACGACGTGGAGATGTCGGAGCTGACGACAGGGGTGAGGACTTGGTGCACAGTGGTATGGACTGGCCTGGACTTCCCCTGCCAAACCTCTATCAGAGCCAGATTGTCCCTAAAATGAGCATTCCAGATCACTCAACAGGAGGCTTCTCTGGGAGGGAAGGGTTTCCCCAAGAACTATGGCATGGGAAGGGATAGGAGATCTGAGGCCAGAGTTGGTACCCCATCCACAGCCAAGGGAGTGAGGCAATAGTGAATGCCACCTGACTCTCCTGCAGGCAGAACCCACATCAGAAGCCACCCCTGCTGTAGACAGTCACAGTGAGAGTGAGCTTGATCGAGTGTATCTGGACCTTACACCTGTCAAGTCTTTCCTGCACAGCCCCAGTGGGGTGCAGGCGCAGACTTCTCCAACACTGCTGCATCTGGACGACCTGGCCGAGATCCTCCCAGCAGACCCCAGTCCAGTCCCCACCCCAGATGAGCTTCCCACAAAGCCTCCAGAGAGCCTGGAAGAACAGGTACCAGCCATTCCTTCCATGGGTGAGCTGGCCCCCTTGCCAAGCCTTGCAGTCATGGAGTGGTATGTGATTCTTTCTGCATAGAGACAGCTAGAGAGCCTGGAGTCCTCAGAACCCGCGGAGCCCGTCCTGAAAATCACCACCGTCAAATTGCAGGCTGAGCAGCAGAGAATTTCCTTTCCAGCCAACTGCCCTGACACTGTGGCTACCAGCCCCGCCAGTGCCAGCCCACCCGTGAAAGACAGGCTGAGGGTGACCAGTGCAGGTGCCTGGGTTAGATCCAAGCTTAATGTTTTGGACAGGGCTGGAGGAAGTTAGCCTGATTCCTTCCCTTTTAGACACATAGCAATGAAAAAGGGGGCTCGATTTTCTTCCGCATCCTTGCTGGACTACTGTCCAGCCCGAGTCCTGAGTTTTATCTAAGCCTAGGACGTGGGATTGGGGCCAGCCCTCATCGTCCATCCCCACTGATATGAGTCTTCACTCTGAATCTTTAGAGATCAAACTTGGGAAGAATCGGACAGAGGCTGAGGTGAAACGGTACACAGAGGAGAGAGACAGGCTGGAGAAGAAGAAGGAAGAGATCCGGGGACACCTGGCTCAGCTCCGGAAGGAAAAACGGGAGCTGAAAGAGTCCCTGTTAAAGTGCACAGGTAGGGGGCCTCCAGAGAGGGAGGGCCAGGGGCAGAACCTTTGGCTCAGGGAAATCTGGGCTTTGAGGGAAGAGGACCTGGATCTGTCACCTGCCCTCCACACCTATTGCCAGAGCCCCTTCCCACTTGGCAAGGTCCCTCTCCTGGTCCTGTCTGAAGGCTGCCAATGTCAGCAGTGCCAGCAAGTACTTAGGCTTTGCACCTGAGCCTTGCTTTGAGCACTGGGTCAGATGACTGGTCTCCCAAGTTATCCTTGCTTTAACTACACCTGCTGTGTACTGTCCTTCATTTCTAGGCTCTTCTTTAAGATACATAAAACTAGAGACACTTGTAAAGAAATCTGAGGCCTTCTAGGTTTTTCTTCAGATGCTCACATCATTCTACAGTGGTTTCCTAGCAACCTACCTCTTGCAGGACCTTTCTGAGTTATTTGACCTGGATCTCATTTGATGTTTAATTGCATAGTTGCACCAACAAGTGCAACTGGCGTAGCAGGTTTGGGGACAAATGCAACTGATTCCTTAGAAGTTTAAACCACTGCTGAAGGGAGGTCTTGGGGGGTAGAGTTACTCCAGTTTTTAAGTAACAGCTCTATTGAGATAGTCCATTTGTCCTGCAAATGACCCATTTACAGTGAATGAGGCA